TTTGAGCTTCATATTAACTAAGCCCTTTAAACTCATTTTTTACAACTCAATTTTCTTGAGCAACTGAGTGGGAAATCTTTATCTAAAAAATGCTTGCATTAACCAGTTTTTTTTTTTTTTTAAACATCTTTCAAATTTCAAGTCCATCAAATTCGTAAATCCTGGGACTTATCAACATTCCAGCCAAACCTTAATGAAATAAGGGGAAAATAAGGAACTCTTATCTGGCCATCTAGGGGATTTAACTTAACAAAATTACCTTTGTGTGTATACATATGGGAATGAATCACTTGAAATCAACGCTTAGCTTTCAGAAGACACATCTAGGAACCCCACAAAACAGCCATATCTTGACTATATAGGAAAGTGCAAGAGGGAATATATAGCAAGTGATTATGAGAAGGTGGCTGAAATGATTGTTGGTTTTATCTAGAGGTGTCAAAATGGGTGACTTGGGCGGGTTTGGGTTGGGTAAAATGGGTAATGGATATAAGTGAGTCAACCCATTTATACCCATTTAATTAGATGGATATAAATGGGTAAGTCAAAAAATAAATTGGGCAACCCAATTATCCATTTATAACCCATTTATTTTAATTTTTTGTAAACTCATTTAAATTCATTTTTGCAAACTAAGTTATCAATTTATACCGTTCTTTGTATCCATCATTAGTTTTAAATATTTACTTATAATGCTCAATCAGCCTAATTAACAATTTTTTTTCATTTATACTCTATGTCGCAAAATTACATATTACTTAATAATTGAATAATAATAGTACAAAAATTTGAACTAAGTACTATAAAAGTTAATATAAAAACTTAATCCAAAAATTTTGAACCCCTAACATTTTTTTCATATATAAATTTAAAATTTCGTTTTAGAAAGATAAAAAAAGATGTTAAAACTTATCATAAATTGGTAATGCTGAAAATGAGCAAGTAAATAAACTAAGAGAAAATAAAATAATAAAATAAAACCAACAAATAATAATAATAATGAAACAAAGGTAGTTAACATCGTGACAAAATGAAAATTTGAAAAAAAAAAGGGTGGGGAAGAGAATTCTAAATGGGTTAATTAGGTTTGATAGGTTACCCAATAATACCCATTACTAAGTGGGTATTATTGGATAACCCATTTATACCCATATACAAAAATTTAAGATACCCATACCCATCTATTTATGAGCGGGTATGGATAAATTTAGTTAAATGGGTTAGTTTGCCACCTATAGTTTTATCAATCGTGACCAAGTAATTACGATTGGTAGCATGCTTGTGACTTTTGATGGTCCATTTTTTCAGTATATATAAGTCCACTTTAAACCTTATGATGGCCAACTGACTTGAATTCTATGTTAGTGACTTTTTTAGTACTTTAATGTGTGACTAATTAGATAAATCAACTTCCACTGAACAGCAGTAGATTTCAAACCTCTCGGCCGCTACCCTTTTAAAATTTAGGAAAAATTATTTTTCCAATAGAACTTTTAATAAAAGTGCTTAATATGTGTTTAGTGTCCGTTTGGATTAGCTGTTTTTTAGGGGTATTTTTGAAAAATTTTGCTGTAGCAGGGTTTTTAGATTATATTTTGGGATATTTTCAGAAAATATTTTGGGATATTTAAGAGTAGGAGAGTTTCTAGAATATATTTTGAGATATTTTTTAAAATTTTAAACTAATTTTTAGATTACCTTTTAGAGTACTTTTTAAAAAATTTTTATTGTATTTGAAAAACACTCCCAGTCTGGATACATTAATTCAATAAGTACTTAATGTATTGGATAATATATAATTTGAAATTTTTATATGTATTTATCTCTTTATTTAGTTGATAATATAGGATAAAATGATTAAATTAAATATTTATTTTAAATCACAAACGTACTCTAAAAGTATCAAATTTGAGCTTTTGCTAAAAGTGCTTTTAGGACCAAAAGTTCCACTCCTAATTTTATGGAATAATGTTTACCAAATAACACCTAAAAGTATTCTTTTAACAAAAGCACCGTAGTCCCAAACGGGCCTTAGTCACCTTCACCACAACAAGCTACAATTTGACATGAATCTCTTTCAGAGCTGCTCTATGGGATTCGATTTCTTCAATTTAAGATCCATACCAATTTCACTTGTATATATATATATATATATTGCTATCCATGCATCCTTTCCTATCTCCATTTTTTTTTTCTGTAAATTTTTTCGAGATAAGCATTTGTATAGAGATGGAGGCGGATTGACGAAGAGGTTCATATCCCTAAAGCATTTTGATTCAATTTTTGTACTTGTATATAAATTGGGCTAATAATGTGTACAACACTGGACTATCAAAGGAATGTTTATTTCGCTTGCAATTCCTGTTATTGGACATCTAAAAAGCTTAAATGTTACATGATAAAAATACATTAGAAAGAAAGAGAAAGTAGCATTCTGTAATATATTTTGTTTCAAGGCTCTATTATAGAAATGGTAAGAGCAATTGCAAAAAGTTTTAACACTTTTAGTTGCAAGATTAGAAGGAATATTATCAAAATTCAGGAGGGGTATCTATGGAGCAATTCTAAAATATCTAAATTTTTTTTAATAAAATTGAGAGGTGCAATTCTGTACAATTTTTTTTTAATAAAATCGAGAGGTGCAATTGCACCCCGTGGAATCAACGTGGCTCCACCATTCCCTATAATTATCTACTACTACAAACGTGAAATATTTTTTGAAAAAGAATTACTTTCATAAGATAAGGCGCCCCAATAACTAAATACAGTAATATGAGGGTTAGAAGTGTACTTTCACTTTTTACTTTCATTTTACTCATTCACGTTACAATTGGCTTTAGAAAATGCTAATTCCACACTTTGTACAAGTTGCAATACTAATAGTACAAGCCATTAGTGCATCCAATGTGTTGTGTTATACTTAGGATGGTTCTAGTGTAGATAGGAGTGGGCAAAATTATCCGTTAATCCGAAAACTCGTCATATTCAATCCGAAAATTAGGATACATGATTTATATTATTTGATCCGGTTAAAAAAGAGTCCGATACCCACTGAGATGGGAGGCAGATTAAAATCACATAATTAAAAACCCAGGGTTCACGACCCAACCCGCCCCATATATATATATATATATATAATATTTTTTAATTTATATATATATTATAAAATAATAATTTAGAGCTGAATAAATAATTTCATTGAACAAATTGCATCACAAATATAAGAAACTATAGTTTATTTACAAGATTCATTTGTAAAGGTTACGATCTTATGTTTTATAGAAAAAATTTTAATTAATGTGAAACATATATTTAAAAAAATATGCCCACTTCTTTTAAAAAAAGTCTATTGTTACTGTAAGGGGAGAAAAGAGCTCTTTCGCTAACGAGTCCTATATATTTCATCGATTATCGTGCAGGAATGGACTGAAAAAGCTTCGTCTTTTCTTTGATCTGTAAGGAGCTTGACGTTTACAGGTACTTGTCCATTTCCGTCTTCGTTCCGTCTTCGTAATATTCAATTCCGTCTAAGTCCCGAATGTTCATTTCTCATTGACTGCTGAAGCAACATGATGTGGGTCCGTACAGAAAAGGTAAAACCCTCAATTCCGTCTCCATCCCGAATATTCATTTCTCATTGACTGCTGAAGCAAGTAACATGACGTGGGTCTGTACAGGAAAAAGTAAAACCGTCTAATAAATTTTTAATAACATCGAGTTGGACTGATCTCGGCTAAAAAAATGTATCTTTTTTTTTTCTTGACACTGCACAACACGACAGGTATAGGGAAAGGGATACAAGTTCAAGTGACCTATTCGAATAGATGGAAATTAAATCATTATCGGACTAGTGATCTAAGCACTTGTTGAATTTAGACAAAATCATGTATTAAGTGATAAATGATGGAAGTCAAGGTTCAAATATACCTACACTAGTTTTTTTTGCTCATTGCTCCATGTCAGATTATCGTGTAAATAGGATTGGCTATAGGCTTGTAGCTGAAGTTTAAGGGACTTTTAGCCAAGTGAGTTTGTTATAGCAAACTCATGTAAGGGAACTTAGGCATGGCTAAAGTATTTCCGAAGCCAATCTAGAAATAAAGTAGACAGTGGAATTTGAAGCCCAGAGTGGAAAACTGAATTTTATTTTATTTTTTTGTGTTTTAACTCGAGCTCGATGGCCATACACAGTGCTCGAGCTTGACTCGAAGCATTGTATTTCAAGCTCGAGCTCAGCTCGTTGGAGATCGAGCAGTACTCGAGCTCAATTACTGAAATGACTCATTCAACCTTCACAAATTTTATAACGATTTCAAACAAGCAACCCAAAAAAGTCATCTGATTATTCCTAAAACAATAATTAAATATTTGCGCGAGTACTCTTTAGAGCTCGTCGAGCTCATGAGCACATATTATTCCTGCTCGAGCTCGACTCAAGCTCGGTCCTCGAGCTTGGTATTGTCCGACCTCGAGTCGAGCAGCTGACCGAGCTACTCGCGAGCTCGAGTCGAGCTGCTCGAATGAGCTGCAGCCCTAGTTTAACTTGTAAAAAATATTTCTCAAGAATAATATAGTGCAAGTTATTGATCCCATGTGAGAAGACTAAAAGAATGGTGAAAAATGGTGAAGTGCATTGAAACTTCTAGCAAACTCCTTTGAGAATCTGAACTTTCAGTTCAAAACCCCAAAATCCTTATCTCCTATTTGGCATATGTCTGCTTAAGAACTCACTCCCCATTTTCATTGTCCAATTTAGTCCTCTAGAGCCTCTATGTTGATGACTATCATGACTATCAGAATTGTGTACTAGTTTTCTTTCTTAACTATGGCTTTTCTTTTTTCACGCTTCACAGTAATTTAAGCTACATTTATATTTGAGTTTTATGTTTGGTTAAAAGTTTCAACACTAGTGATTAATGCTGCAAATACTTAGACAATTGAAGATTTGGTGTGATTAACAAATCCCATTCCAGGAGCAAAAGTAAAAAAATCAGGGCAACATGATCAACTTCACCAAAGAAGAACTGAATGCCTATACTGGCAATTTTGAAGTCTACTTAGGGGAGGGGAAAAACGGACGAGTCTACAGAGGACATGTCCCTACCAATAATAATCATGAGTTGAACGAAATGTTAATTGCAGTAAAGCTCTCAAAGAATCATGATTCAGACACAATCACCCAATTCGAGGTATCCACGTAATTTACTCACACATGCAAACTACTAATATACATAAAATCTAAATTCTTTTACCTCACAACTTGTCAGAATGAAATCGAATGGCTGCCTCAGTTGAACCATCCAAATATTGTTCAAATGGTGGGGTTATGCAGATCCCCTGAAGGAATCTATATCGTCTATGAACTTGCGAAAGGCGGAGATTTGCTCAGTAAATTGGAAGGTAAAGTACATATGCACTTGATTACTCTTGAAATAGTGATTTTGTTATAGTAAACCCTTTTTTTTCTTTTTGAGAAACAGAACTGGACTGGCAGCAAACACTGGACATTATTTTAGGACTAGCTGCAGCCATAGAATATCTTCATGACACGGGTCTAAGAATTGGAGACCTAAAAGCTCCTAACTTACTTCTTGATGAGGTAAACTTCGAAAAAAACTTTTAACATGAAGAAAAAGAAAACTTCTTCACAATGAGATGTTACGTGCAATACTCAACCATTGAGGTTTGAGATGCTAATGACTTTGCTTGCTTGTCTTCAGAATTTTCAGACAAAACTAGGAGACTTTGGCACCATATCACCTATGGCTACTATTCATACAAAAGCAAGAATCTTTATGACCCCTGGATACATGGATCCCAGTTTTTCTTTCAGATGTATGAACTCAATACCTTCAAAAAAGCAGGAAAGTCTGGTTATATATGTATATATATATTTATGACTAGAGATTTTCAGTACATTATGGTCATTGCAGTTACTCCTCCATACCATTCTTATTAGTTACTATGCAACTGTTTTGCAAGGTGTTCCAAGCCTAGATGATGACATTTACGGCTTTGGAGTGATAATTCTGCAACTGCTGACCAAACAGATTTTTCCTATCGGAACACATACTCATATTGCAGAGAAGACTGAGACAGAGTTTGCTCAAGGAGATCCAGTAGTTCATGAGAAGCTGAGGGTGAGTGGCTGTTCAAAAGATGATGCAAGTACAATTACAGGGTTGGCAGTCCAACTCACCAATAGACCATTTCAAAATGCCCAAGGAGAATGGTTCAACGTATACAGGCCAAATATTGCAAGTGTAACTCAGGTGCTCAATACGCTACATGTTGTTCAAAGAAATGCCATACACAGGGGTTTTCTAATGCTAAAGTTAAAGGCTCAAGCGATAAAGACCAAAATCATGAAAAAGTAACTTTCTAGCAGTAGCACTCTTCTGTGATAATCATGGACCATCTACATTCTGTCTGACACGGAAAGACTACTGTCTAATATGCTTTAGAACATGCTGTCTGGTCACAGGTTTTGGTGACAATTTGTTGATTCCAAATGTTGTCTTAACAGCTTCTTGCATGGATATCTACATTGTGATTTTCTTGTTAATTTCTAGGAGTGATTTTTATCTTCTTAAGCATATTTTCTCATCCTATTCCAAGTTGCTTCTTTAAATTCCGGTGAAATTCAATATCTGGCTTTCCTACAAAGCTGTTGTTCCTACCAAGTGTTCGTGCTGTATCAAAAGTTCATTTGTGCTGATGGTTTTGAAAATTTAGATAGAGCAGGAAATGCAGAAATGCTTCTTGACATGCAGGTTTTTGGTGCTAATCCTGACAATAGAGTTTTCAGTGTGCTAACGAAAACTACAAGGGAACTGGAAAATATGTCATGGTCCAAACCTTTTTTCCATTTCTTGTATGTTATTTCAGTATCAATTCAAATTCTTAGACGTGAACCAGGTGGCCCCTGAGTCCATGCATGCATCCTTATCTGCAGTGGTGGAACAAACCACTTGTACTTCTGATTAAGAATGCAACCAAGACTATCTAAGTAGCATAAGCACGTAGAGTTATAAAATCCTATGCCAAGACACTAAACCAATTGTTAAAACTGGGAGTTGCAATAAATCAATTCTAAAGGAGTCAACTGACAGGTTTAAGGGCGACTTCTTAGAAGACTCTTGATATGGTTTTCCTTTTCCACCTCCAGATAAAAACCTGGAGCAGGAGAACATAGTTTAAACTACATTAATACATGCTCAGACCTTCCTGCTACAAGTTCAATCAGCTTGCTGATCTCTCTCTCAGCCACCCTCCAGACCCAACCTAACAGAAGGATATATCCACATTCCTGAGTCATTAGTAAAATGAAGTGCAAAACTGAACATCAAATCATTTCACATTCCTTTCCTGGTTTCTACATTCTTGTTTGGGAGAAGCATCAAGAAATATACACAGTAAGGCCGGGGTCTGCAAGTAATTCCTGATGCCAAATGCTTCCTTGTGCAGGTATCTTATCATTAGAAGGATCAATTAACAGTTCTTTGAGATAGGGTAAAAGTTAATTAACAACAAATTTACTGCAGGCTGAGTTTAGAATAAAGCACTAGTATTTGTTGACCAATAAGGCTGCTTCTACATCTCCTTGAATTCTTTTTTGCCCCAGCAGTGTGATTCTGCACCCATGAACTAAATGCATTAGCTATTTATGTAAATTCAGCCAGATATGTCCTAGCCGACTGTTTTTCTTATTGTAATTTAAGTGGACAACAAACACACACATCAAGCAACAGGTTGTTTCTAGACCTCAAAACAGGGTCATCTTCTTCATATTATAGCATCTTGTATGTGTCTTGCATAAATTAAGTTCTACTAAAGCATCATCCGTGATAGACAAACAAGTATATGCAAGTCCAAGAGAATATAAAAGGACAGACAAAAGTCTTTTAGTGTCCAAAAAAAAAAACAGAGAATCTTGAAGTATAAATATATGAAAAATTCGGAAGAAATGTTCATAGGGTAACATCTTATAGGGCCATTGGCATACGGCTAATTACTCAGAATATCGTTGAAAAAAAGAAAAGTCGGGCACATATGGATCTGACAAGGGGTGCTGCAAATCTATGGCTGGCAGCAGACAAAATTTTTTTTTTTTTTTAATAAATTCGCTGGCTGCCGGGCTGTGTTAGCCCGGCAGCCGGCAGACTTCTGCAAAAAGCTGAGCCATTCCAATTTAAAAAAAATATATATATATTCCTGTTGCAAAAAGATGGCTTCTTCAACGCTTTTGCTGTTGGTGGTGTTTATTATTGATTTGATAGCTTTTGCACTTGCTGTTGCTGCTGAGCAAAGAAGGGCTTCTGTAAGTTTATTCCCAGACTTCTAATTTGCCTTCTTCTATGCCAATTTAGAGTGGTAGATGGAACTCTTTTTTCTTCATTATAGCATGAGGTTTTTGGTTAGAGCTGCTGGCAGAAAGTTGCAATTTTGTTTTGGTTCGTGATTTGCTAATATTTAATTGCAATTTTTATAAAGGCCTGTTGAATTTTCATGTCCATCTGAAATAGAATCCAAGCCTGTCTGTTGTTCTCGAGTTTAATGAATTTCCCATTTTAGGTATTCAGGTAGCTAATTTTACAGTATAACCAACCATTCATGTTCAGTGTTGTGGATGTGACATGGAAATATGTATTGAGCATGAGCATTCTAGCAATAAATCACGGTAGGCCTAATGAGAAAAATTATAGTTTGTGGTCTTCATCTCCATATTGTCTTTGCGTGTCTTTGCATATTGTAGATTTGTGTGTCTCTAGTTCTGCAGGTCTCAGAGTGATAAGAAATTTTGATGTCATTTATGTAAGACCCAACTGACACATAACATATTGCATACATTTCATGAAGGTCTCCATGTAAAAACTGCTTTTTTTTTGTCTCTGCTATAACTATAGAAAGGGCATTCATTGACTAGATAGAAACGTATGAGCCCCAATAACTGAAGATTCAATGAAAATCAAAAGAGAAAATATTATAGAGATTGAAGGGCTTGAGACCAAGGTTCAGTAGGGGCTTCCAATGGTTGGGAAATTTCCAAAAAAAAAAAAAAAAAGGATTAGGCAAGAATGACTGCAAACGATGCTTTATAGGTGTTTACCATAGGAGGAGTGCAAACTGGTTAAGCTATTCAGCAAACTGGCCACCCCAACCCTGGTTTTACAAAGAAGAGATTCAGTGATTGTGTATAGGAAGCCTGAAATGTGAAAAAACTTGGAAGACAACATGCATCAGGAAGTTACTATAACGGAATTATTATTATTTTTTAAATTGAACTGGTTGCCTGGCTCTCTCAGCCCGGCAGCCGGCTTTTTGCAGGAGTTTTTTGTCGGCAGCAGTGTCAGACTAAAAAATAAAAAAATTTTGGCTTTTTGTCAGCCCGGCAGCCATAGATTTGCAGCACCCCTTTTCAGACCCATATGTGTCCGACTTTTCTTTTTTTCAACGATATTCTGAGTAATTAGCCTTGGCATTCTTATACATAAGTATGCATGCCACCTATGTATATGCATGCCACCTGTGAATGCATAGTCTAACAGGATTTCTTCTAAAATCAAATACATGTTATGCTCCATCACTATTGTATGACACCTTATGTAGAGGACTTAAAAGGCCGCGCACGCAGGGGGGAAATAGTTTGACAAATCATACCAAACACCAAACTATGGTCTTCTAATTATCTAAACTTAGCTGGTGGTAGCTTGTCTTTCCTATTTTGACATTCTCCTCAATCAAAACCATGCTCATAACCAGTAGCTACACCCTACACTTCTAGAACAAAAACAAAGTTTTATATTACCATTGAGTAATATAGCATATTCATATGCTATTCTTCTGGTTAACAATTAGGGGTGTTTCGCGAATCGAGCCGCTCGCGAGCCGATCGCGAGCGGCTCGAATACGAGCTCGACTCGAGCTCGTCAATATCGAGCTCGAACTAATCAAATCGATCTCGATCTCGAGCTCGAGCTCGAGCTCAAAAACATTGAGTTCGTTGGCTCGCGAGCTCAATTATATATAATTTTTTTATTTTTTATTTTAATAGTAAAATTACATATATATCCCTAATATTTTATTATTTGTTAAAAAATTATTATTTTATTCATTTTTAAAAATAAATAATTATTTTTTATTTTTTAAAAATAAAATAATAATAATTATTTTTTTATTTTTTAAGCTCGAGCTCGAGCTCGAGCTTCACAAAATTAACTCGAGCTCGGCTCGATTAGCCAAAGCTCGGCTCGAGCTCGGCTCGTTTGCACCCCTAACAGTTATACCATGCTAATGTCAAAAAATTTCAGGACAAAGATGGTGAATCACATAACATGAGGGATTACTTTGTCCAATCAACAGTCTTCATTTCACTAAAATCCCCAATGCAAACCCTCGAAAAAGAGAAAAAGGGTAGAACAGAATGAAAGAAACATCATTGACTACAACAATATCTTTTCAAGTCAATCTACAATGGAAAGCCAAGTACAATTCAGTACTTTTGCTTTTATTGGGCCGATGCATCTAAAATTTTCATGCTACTAAGTAATTTTCTATGGTTACAGAAATATTCAAAACATACCTAGCATTAGCTTCACCTAATTTTATATCTTTCCGCACAGCTCAGATGCCAGGACTTGGTGTTAAACAGTATGGCCATAGGAGAAAAATACGTATGACAATTTTGAAGGCACCCTTGGTTGAGGTCTTACATACCTAAAATTACGGACACAAAGAAGGCACCATAAACTAATGGGTATATCTATCAATGCGAAGGTGTAAAAGTTGCAAACATTGAAATAGAACTATAACAGGTAAAACACAGTTGAGCATTGCGTCAATTAAGGCATGCAACATCGAGGTACTAAGATCACTTCTTCAAAAGTAACATCACTAGAATATCGAAAGAATGGCAATTTCACCAATGTCCTAGACTCAGCTGCTCAAACTTCTTAAATTATTTCAACCTAAACAAGTCAGCAAACTATCACATCAACATTTGTCATGCCATGTCAGGAAACTTTACCTTGTTAACATACAGTACGGCTGTCGAAGAACTTCGGTTACCAGATCATCAATCAAAGTTCCCAAATAACTACTTTCCCTTTCAAGAACCATGAGTTACTTTCCATCTGAATGCCTAGCAGCATTAATTCCAGAAATAATGCCCTGTAAGAGGGAAGGGGAAAAAGGTAAGGCATCTTGTTAGGAAGGCAATGGTTATGATGCCATTCAAGAAGAGTGCATAAAAGTGGTTACTTTATATCAAAAAATTCATCAACCCAAATTACAACAATATATAACCTGGGCAGCTGCTTCTTCATAACCTGTTGTTCCATTTATTTGACAAAGGAAAAAGGGTCCTTCAATCTTTTTTGTCACAAGTGTCCTATGACACTGATGAGCAGGTAAGTAACCATACTCTACAGCATAAGCAGGCCTCAGCATCGAACAATTCTCATGTCCTGGTAATGATCTTAAGAGTGGCGATTGCAGTTTCTCCTATAAACCAGTAAAAATCCTTAAAAACGCAGCAAGTGTGGTTACTCAACAAGAAAAAGGTGTACAGGATAAATATACGTGGCCTAAGCAGGATACTTTTATCTAATCTCTTGATTTCCTTGTCTTTTAAAGAGAATAAGAATTGCAGAGATGCACAAGGGCCAAAAACCTTGTCTTATTTGTGGTAGCTAATCAGAAGGCATAGAACAGTAAGCACCAAGACTTTGATGGGTGACAGGAAAGATAACCTGCAACTTTTGGGGAACTAAGCCAAATTATGACACACAGACCCAAGAATCTACTCACAAGGCATTTACGATAAAGATCCAGGAAAAAGTCAGACTGCCAAAGTTTTTTAAATCTTTGATTGAATCAACAATATAATACCATTGTCTGCCATAGATGCTTATGAGGCTTTCACGTGACC